GTTAATCTGATTGGTCATTTTCGGAATCTCCACTGAATAGCAACAGAGGTGATTTCAGTATGCAGTTACGTCTACATTCAGGTGGCAGGATCCAAAAACATGTTTTAAACGAGCCAGCAAACCACAGGTCTTACTTGATGAAATAACCTGAACTTCAACATGAATTTTAATTCTAGGAACAATAACATCTCCTTCATTCAGACAAAAACAAAAAACAGAACAATCAGTGTCTTTGTTTCGGACCACAACCAAAATATGGGAACTGAAGATGCCTCTAGGATGAGAGGCAAAATGTCTTCAACATAACCAGAAAAAAACAGCTGTTTTCATCTCATCTAAAACTCTCAGGAAGATCATGTCTAGGATGACTGAGAGTCTACGCGCTGCAGCAGCGACTCAGTCAGATGGGAAACTGAAACTTAAATGTAGCTGGTGTCAGTAACAACCTACCGGATTTAAAACTTTCAAACTCTCAACAGACTAAATAGTTAAAAAAAGAAAAAAATCTCACAATTTTGCATGTTGTACGATTTATTATATTATTATTTATTATCCCTATTAAAAACTGAAATGACCGTCACATAGCTACTGTTGTACAGCAGCCCATTGTCAAATGAAGAAAGACAGAAGGAAAATACAGTAAAGCAATGGAGGACGATATATGTTGGAGGAGTGGGAAGCACGTAGCCGGCAGCGAGGACCAAATCCAAAAAATTTCCAGTTGTTGAAGAGGTTTTGTAGGAACAGGCTTCTCCTTGATCAAAACTACCACCGCTCCAGCTAACTGCCACCGTATGGGAAGTTATCTTCCATTTAACATTAAAGAAGCTGCTCAATATACCACGATAATGATTTGAGGCCCTACTAACTTCTCCCTTTTAGATCAAATTTGACCATAGTCTCGCATCAAAACCCATAAAAAACAAATACTAATCTGTTGTTTCTGGGGTTTGCTAGCACCTGTCCCAACAACCTGTAAGTACTACAGAACATGCGTTGTTCAGTCAGTGAGCATTAAAGCAGAATTACAGGTTAATAATATGGGAAAGTCTCTCATATTTCAGCAGATTACAGCAGAGGAGCACATGGAGCAGGCTAGAGCTAGCGCAGGCTCCAGCGATGATGAGTTCAGAGACGCTCCAAAATACGACCGTTTACTTAAAGCAGGGGTTTTCCTGCGTTCAAATTTGTGTGGCGGCTGCCTCCAGATAATTTTTTGCCGCCCCAGCCTGATTTCACTCTGCCCCCAGCTATATTGATGTTATTTTAACTGCAGCTGCAGTTGCAGCATTGCTCCACTACAGGGGCGCTGAATCAGCAGCGGTGCACTGAAAAGTGCTAAAACCGCTGCAGACAAGGTTCAAAATTAGCTTTTCTCGCTAGTTTGTACGTGTCTATGGTTGTTGCTATTGACGTCCTGATTTCCCCCCAGGCTCTTCCATATCAGAGCAGGGCTGTACAGTGCAATGAAAAAAACTGTCTGTGCGTGTCTGTATATTTTTAAACGTAGCACTGGTGCAACATCTTTGATTTACTATTTCCCCAGACTTTATTGAACAAAAGTAAGTTACGTGTAAGAAAAATGCTTTTTACTGGCACAGTGTGGTCATCTGGATACAGTGGAGGAAAATACAGGAACCAGCAAAGGCACAAAGGCAGAACCGGTCCAAAGTTTGGGATCTAAAGTGCAGCTACACGCAGATTGGCTAATGCTAAAGCTAACGGGTAGCAGTCTCACGATCAAGTGGCGCACAGAAAAATATATGACGATCGTAAACTAAGAAAGACTAAACTCTACAAGTGGATAAAAAGTCCCCACCATTCTGTTTATTCTGCATCCTGCAGCGCTACGGATCAGAACCGCTGCAGATACGAGTCACTTTACTGCTACAAGTCTGCTCCACACACAGGAACATGATATAATTCACAAATGCTTCAATGTTTGAACATAATTTAAACTGGATTATTGCCAACCCGTACATAATAGACATGCCACCATTACACTGTTAGCAGCAGAAATTAAATGTTATTACCATTTCCAATACAAATGCATTATATTTTACTGGATATATTTGTGTTATTTTGACTAAGATGAGTGTTATCAATACAAACCTAAAATGTCACTGAAATGTAGGTGAAATATTTAAAAATATTTTAACTACTAATATCAGATGGGAACAAGGGAACTAAACACCAATCTAATGCATATTATTGAGCCTTTCATAACAAGTCTGTTATTTCAGCCTGATACTTTTGTTGTTTTATTTCATATTTTTTTGCAGCAAACCAGTTTTGTTTCACTTAAAACATCGGCAAATGGAATATTCAATTCATCAACAGAAGCTTAGATTAAAACACTTAACGAAAAGATATTTTGCCTTTAAAGAGCAAGTCACCCTCTGCCTGAGTATTACTCAACTCCCACTTCCTGTTTGAAAAATGCAACAAATGTTGCCTAGCAGACCGAGAGGGTGGAGCCGTTAACAAATACACACACAGGCTCACGATGACATTGTGACATCATATGGTACCAGCTAACATTCTAGGGTACCTCTTAGCCAATAGCAATGGCAGATTTGAATTCAAAACAGCACAGAGTTTTTACCTGACAACGGCACAACACTGACAGGTTGGAATATTTTAATTTTTAAGAGCAAGTCACCCCCTGCCAGATTCTTCCTCAACTCCTACTTCCTGTTTGAAAAATGCAACAAATGCTGTTGCCTAGCAGACCGAGAGGGCGAAGCCACTAACAAATACACACACTCACAACATTGTGACATCATAATGTACCATCTAACATCATAGTGTACCTCTTAGCCAATAGCAATGGCAGATTTAAATTCAAATGCAGTGCTGAGTTTTTGCCTGACGACGGCATTGCTGACAGTTTTAGGCAGATTATTTAAATTTTTACTAAGTTTAACTAAAGTGCCAAATTATTGACTGAACGTGTCTACAGAGCAATTAAGACACTCATTTATATAGTTTATCAACAAAAAAATGTTGATTTGAGGGTGACTTGCTCTTCAACTAAAATGCACTAAAGTGCAAAACTATTGACGACACGTGACTGCAGCACAATAAGACACGCATTTATACAGTTTATCAGGAAAAATTAAGTTCATTTGGGGGTGACTTGCTCTTTAACAAAGTGAGGCAGTTGAACGCACAGAGTATGCATGTGCTGGTCCATGGTCAAGATGGTACCACCTCTGCCTCAATTTGAGCCAGGAAAAAGTCTGTAAAGGCTTTTGGACAGGATCGACTCCGAACATTGATGAATCGATTCTGAATAAGTAAGAACCACGATTCAGACGTGAATCGAGTTCATCAGGCACGTCTAATGATCATCTAACCATAAACAGAGGATTCACACAATTTAGCTTATTTCACTAGATTTATAATAGCTCACAAGTACTCGCTTGATAGTGTTTTCCTAGGAAACTTCCCATGGCACGTAACAAGCGGAATAAAAAAAAAAGCGTTTTAGCCTCATTGCTGGTTTTCACTCGCGTGCCTCATGTGACTCTGCAGTCGTGCCAAACTCACTGGAAGTGTTTTGCTCCACAACTAAACATAGCTCGATGATGGCTGTTTCTAAGTAACTGATTGATCATTTAGTAATCTTTTATAGGTTATTGATCGCTGTAAACTCTAGCATTGTCCGTTTCAGCTCCTGTTTTTAGCCGTAGACAACTGAGCCTCTTCTTTCAATACATTTTTTTAGTTTAGTTCTTTGTGGTGCACCACTTTCGGGTCTTGGAAAAAAAAATATGTACATCTTTGTCCTGATTAGAGTGATTGTAATAACCGAAGACCGCTTGGAATTTTGTTATTTTAACGCCCAGTCACAAATAGCGTTCTGTGCAGCGCTGGCTACTTCCAGACCCCCATCTGCATTTAGTGACCTTGATGGAACATCATGTGAAACCCAGCAACGCAATCGATACGATTTAAAACGCAATCGATACGATTTAAAATGAAGGTGTGGCGCGGCGCATCTGCCTCCGGTGTGCCCCAAGCTTTACTCCACTCCCATTTCCTGTTTAAAAAATGCAACAAATGCTGTTGCCTGGCAGAGCTAGAGGGCGGAGTCACTAACAAATGCACACACACAGGCTCACAACGACATTGTGACATCATAATGTACCAGCTAACGTCATAGTGTAATTCTTAGCCAATAGCCAGGCAGATTTAAATTCAAATGCAGTGCAGTTTTTACCTTAAGATGGCACAACACGAACAAGTTTTAGGCAGAATATTAAAATTTTAACTAAGATGCACTAAAGTGTCAAATTATTGACTACATGTGTCTGCAGCACGATTAGACGAGTATTTATATAGTTTATATCTCATAAACAAAAGTTGATTTGGGGTGACTTGCTGTTTAACAAGACATAACTTTTATGGGTCATTTAAAAAATATTTCCAATTTGAATTAGCTTTGTCAAAGCAGCTGCTCAACGTGCATCAAAATGAAAATAAATGTAAAGGACAGACGACAGTTTGAAAGTGGCGTGCACCTTCACTTTAGCCAGTGGAGTCCATGATTAAACGACATCACCATCTAAACCGCACAAGATCGTTAGGATTTAACTTAAGACTTGCAGAACTTTTATAAGATATTATCTTGTAAACCAATACAACGGATTACCTAATTTCTCTGGTTTTAGCAGTTGTGTGGTGCATGGGCGGGTAAAGCCAGACCAGGCCCATTTGAAAACAGTCCAATCAGCTAAACGTTAGCTTAGCTACCATTAGCAGCTAATTTTAGGCAGAAATATCACCTGCGTTGGCTGTGAACGACTAAATCGATTTAGGATTACTTTTACACTCCTAAAGTAAGAAATGCTGTCGTGGAATGAACACATTGACACTCCGTACAACTTTATCACAAGACTGGTCTTGCAAAGCTGAACGCTGTTAGGGTTGAAATGCATACGAATTGGCTGTAGCGCGTTAGCTAGCGAGTTAGCTTCAGCGGCAAAGCTACTCACATTTCTTAAGCCACTTCATCCAGTAGCGAACGATGAGTCCGTGGTGTTTCTTGTTTTCAATGCACCAGGTTGAGAGTCCCTGTATTGCCTCCATAGTGTTGGATATTCCTTCAAAGCGACGGTCCAACGATGCTTCCAGAGCAGAGGTGGAGCTGCGGGCTCCTTGGCCGCTTGGAGCCCCCGAACCAGCCGCCATCTTCCCAGCACTGAGGGAATGAAGGAGCTAGGCGGGGTAAAGAGGATGACTCGGGGAAGACACGCCCCTTGGGTTTTACCATAACAACTCGCGCGTCATGCTGCGCGAGTTAAAAAACGAAACGAACTGAAATGGGGGTACGTTTTATTTATTTAAGGCAGTGACTGTAATGTTACAGAGAAATGTTGCTACAGCATTCAAAACATTACCAATTTCTCCAAAACAAATCCTTTAAGGAACTTCTGTAAAGCTTTTATTAGTTTCTTTTCTCTCAATGTGCTGGCACAAAAGTTGTGCACGTTGTTGCAGATGTGGTGCACTTTTACTCAGTTTAAGCCACGACAATCTGACTTTCTCTTCGTCACGTACAGCCTTGGGAGAGGTATTTACATTACACAGTGCAATCTGTCTCCAAAAAATATATGACAGAAAGCCTATATCACCAAAGAAAGGAACACTGACGCATTTCGACACACGCTCCTCAGCAGGTGCCCTGATCGGTTCTGTTCCGACAAAAACATCAAAGTCCATCCAAAAAGATTACCACAGAGAGGAGCAAACTGCAGCAAGGACGTGGATCTGCAGGCTGGCTGACGGCAGACGTCCCTGACTGAAACAAAATGCTCCTCTGTAAGGTTTCAGTCATCTGTGCCATCTAACACACTGTGGCTCAGGGCTAGGTCCCAGTAGTGCTCTGTGCCATGCTTCCTAAAGTGTTCTCGAGCCAAGCTCTCTGTGGGGCACTGCTTGAACTTCATCTCCCCAAAACTATGCTCCTTCGCTGTTCCCTGGAGAGCCCAGAAAAAAAAAAAACTCAACAAGACCAGAAAAAGACATTTTAAAATGCAGAATGTAAAATGTGCCACTCACCTCCCAAATCAGCCAACATTTGTTGTTTCTCCTGGTGTCGTCATCACCATCTGGATCTAAATGATACAAAAGGTTGACAAATTCAATGATAATTTAAAACAACTTAAGTAGCACGACCAAAACCACACTTACCATCACGTTTAGAGTTGTGCTCCTCCCATTTGATTCTGTGCATCATGAGTCTCTTAAACTTTTTCTGGGACTTGGGACCTAAAACGTAGAAAGAAGCGGATTTACTTTAGGTGTTTGCGTCACGATTCTCTTAAAGCATGTGAAAGGAACAGATCAAATTCAAAGATACTTCATTAGTCCCAGAGGGAAATTAGAGTTTCAGTACACACAATTCAGAGATCAGACATGCATAGGCATAGACACATGACAAGAATTGGTGGCTGCGGTCAAAGTCAATTTTATTGTCAATTCTGCCACATGCACAGGACATACAGAGAAATGAAATTATGTTACTCTAAAACCCTCGCTAGATAGCAAATAAACATTTAGTATAAACAGAGTATTAAAAATGTTAAAAAAATGTTAAAAAGTAGTGCAATCTAGACACACAGTGCAAATGGAGATTGTAATTTTACCATAAGTGACAGACAGAAGTCTTTTGAGGTAATTGGCAGATCAATACTGCACAAAATGACTTGTGCAGACCACTAGTGAGAGTGTGAGCGTGTAAAAGTAACCGAGTTCAGAGAGACTGTGGGGGAAAAGAGAGGAGAGGGGCAGAGCCGGGAGGGAGTTTAGCTTCCTAACTGCCTGATGGATAAAGCTGTCCTTCAGTCTGTTGGTCCTGGCCTTGAGACTCCGCAGTCTCCTCCCTGACGGCAGCAGCTCGAAGTGGCTTTGCATTGGGTGAGTGGGATCAGCCGCAATGCGAAGGGCCTTTTTGTGAGGCGGGTGCTGTAAATGTCCGGTAGGGAGGGGAGAGAGACCCCAATGATCTTCTCTGCTGCTCTCACTATGTGTTGGGAGGGTTTTAAGGCAGGATACGTTGCGGGCTCCGAACCACACAGTGATGCCGCACGAAAGGATGCTCTCGATGGTGCCTCTGTAGAAAGTGTACAGGATGGGGGCTGGTGCTCTTGCTCTTCGTAGTTTGCGGAGGAAGAAGAGACGCTGCTGTGATTTCCTGGCCAATGCTATGGTGTTGTTCGTCCAGGAGAGATCCTCTGTAATGTGCACACCCAGGAACTTGGTGCTGCTCACTCTCTCCACAGACACACCGTCGGTCAGAGGAGCATGCTGAGTGTGTGCTCTCCTGAAGTCCACAACAATCTCCTTGGTCTTCTCCACATTCAGAGAGAGGTTGTTGTCAGCACACCACGTGGTCAGGCGGCTCACCTCGTTCCTGTGGTCGGTCTCATCCCTGTTGTTTTTCAGACCCACAACTGTCGTGTCATCCGCAAACTTGATGAAGAGGTTAGAGCTGTGTAATGGTGTGCAGTCGTGGGTCAGCAGAGTGAAGAGGAGGGGGCTCAGCACACATCCCTGAGGGGCCCCCGTGTTTAAAATGATGGTGCTGGATGTGTTTCTGCCAACCCGTACTGCTTATGGTCTTCCAATGAGGAAGTCCAACAGCCAGTTACACAGTGAGGTGTTGAGACCCAGCTTGACCAGTTTTTGAGTAAGCTGTTGGGGGATGATGGTGTTGAATGCTGAACTAAAGTCTATAAACAGCATCCGGACATATGAGTCTTTTTTGTCCAGATGTGTGAGTGCTGAGTGGAGTGCAGTGGAGATGGCGTCATCGGTCGAGCGGTTGGGCCGGTATGCAAACTGGAAGGGGTCCAGGGAGGGGGACAGAACAGACTTGATGTGTTGAATGACTAACCGTTCGAAGCACTTCATAAGGATGGGAGTAAGTGCAACAGGACGGTAGTCATTAACCCTCCCACTGTCCTAATGGGTGTGACCCCGCGAGGAAAGTTGACCATTGAGCAGGGTTGATGGTTTATCCCTTGGGTCCATGTGGCAGGGGTGAGGAGTGAGCACCACCTCACCCCTGCCACATGGACTGCAAGGGATAAACCGTCAATCCTGCTCAATGGTCAACTTTCCTCGCGGGGTCACCCATAAAGGCAGTGGGAGGGTTAAAGCAGGAGGGAGATGGCATTTTTGGGACCGGAATAATTGATGTGGCTTTAAAGCACGTGGGGACAACAGCCTGGGTAAGTGATATGTTGAAGATGTCTGTGAAGACATCAGTTAGTTCCACTGCACAGTCTCTCAGTGCCCGGCCAGGAATATTATCAGGACCCGGAGCTTTACGTGCATTGATCCTGCTGAGGGATCTCCTTAAGCTGTCCGGGGACATTCGCAACCCTGAGTCGCGCTACCTTAATAGAGATCAGATGGTTACATGAGGATTGGTTCAGGTGGAAGAAAAAAGGCACTTCAGAGTTACCCTCCACAGGGAGGGCAGCTTTGCTATCTCCAATCTGGTCCGGGAACGCCTTGGGGTCCTGCCGGAGGAGCTGGCCGGGGAGAGGACGGTCTGGAGCTCCCTAGATGCTGCCCCCGCGACCCAGACCCGGATAAGTGGAGGAAGATGACGACGATTTCTATTCCCTGGCCTTCCCGGCTGAGACGGTTTAACCCTTGTGCTTTCCTGTTTTTTTTTTGTTTTTTTTTTGTTATTATGGTTTTTATTTGTTTTATCTATTATATGTGGCTGTATCTAGTTTGGTGATGTATTGTCTTGTACAGCACTTTGGTTGGTGTTGGCGGCGTTTAAATGTGCTTTATAAATAAAGGTTGATGATGATAATAATAATAATAAAAAACGTCTTGTTTTTAAAAAAAACTATTATCTCGGTGGGTTTACCGTGGCTGCGGCGTAGGCACGGTGACCCTTAACAGCCACCGTATCATCTGCTGAAGTTGCCGGCGGCACATGCGCACTTTGTTGTTTACAACTAGAGCTGAAACAACTAATCGATTTAATCGATTATAATCGATTATTAAAATAGTTAACTTTTTTAGTCATCGATTAGTTGTTTAATAATCACATTTTACCGCATAAAGTCTATTTTTACCACAATCTGACATCGGTTACAATCTGTTAAATTTGCCGCCAGTGTGTGGCAGTAATGAGCCACTGATCTACCAGTGGAGCCGTAGAAGAAGAAACAAGCCAATAAGTGCCCTCGGTTTTCATGGCGTATCACGTTACTGACGCTCATCTTGCTGTGAGAGATGGCGGAACAAGAAGAAATACGGAAGAAAAATAGAAGCAACAAAACTGAAGAGAAACCCCGGACAAAAACCTCACGAGTATGGGAGCACTTCACTCTAGATGCCATGAAAAGACGGGTGACCTGTAAAATATGCAAAAACCATCTAGCATGGCACGGAAGCACGACGTCCCTAAGTGAACATTTGAGATGAAAGCATGTGGGGGCTGATGCAGCAGAGGAAGAGCCAGCCCGGTAAGTAACAGAAAAGAAGTCATCACTCCACGCAGATCACATTTGGGACTTAGTGTTTTAACTGAGTTCGTTATAGTGAATGTTAAACATGTTTTTTGTCCGCGTCAGTCTACGGTGTTCTACTTCTGATTGACTAGATGCAATTGTGAATCTCCGTGTTGTGAATCATGCGCTTGCCAAATTTAGCACGTCTGTTTATAAGATTATTATATACGTGTGATTATTAAAAGGCTGTTTTACTATCTAACACTGTAAAACGCCTCACAACACATTTTTATCAAAATAAATGATCACTGTATATTGTTAATTAATTCAAATAATATAATATTGATTTACTGTTGTAGTGTGTGTGCTGCTTTATTTTATATGTGTACTTATGTCAGTCAATTTGTGTTTCTTATGCAGAAAAAAACAAGCAACAATGGACAACTACATGGGGAACAAGACACTCACCCTCCAGCAATGCATACCACTTACAAACTCTATTCTAGATTCTACATAATTTTTTATGGAATTTACCTCTTATATTTTGATGCCAAAAAATTATTCTGGACTGATATTTTGCACTGTTTAGCTCATTTTACACCGCTGACTGTGTTCATGTGCAATAAAATACATTGCAGTCAACTGCACAATTCTCTTGTTTTTCTTTTTCTTAACTGAAATGTATTCATCACTTGTATAGGTTAAATAGCTAAACAATAACAAACCGATTAATCGATTAATCGAAAAAATAATGGACAGATTAATCGATTAGGAAAATAATCGTTAGTTGCAGCCCTATTTACAACCAAAACTTTCTTGAAGCTAAAGCTGAAATAATGGCCAAAAGAGGAGACGGCAGCGCTCAGGAGGACATTTATTATCCCTCAAAGAAGACAAAGTCGGAAGTACGGGCAATTTTTGGATATTTGAAGAATGCCGAGGGACAGTTGTTGGCAGCACGTGCAGAAAAAGTGTCTGTGAAAGGCAGCAACGCTTCAAATCTCATGACACATCTGCGTGACCATCACCCACAACTCTACAGTCAACGCAAGGCAAGCCAACGTTAGCGTTTTAGCTAAAATGCGTGATCTGAGTATTTGGGTTGAGGGAGAATGCAACGAGTCGCTATATAAAGCAGCCGCAGCGCCGCTACCTGCATATAAACCGTGTCGCGGACACCGCCATGTTGAAATGACGCTATGCATTACGGGGCTCCCAGGGGCAGATAAGAGTTGGTCTCTCTCCGAGAATAATTATGAATTTAACAATGATTACTGCCTGATGACATTTTCCCACATCTGCAAAGCTCACTGGAAGGACACAAACCGAGGACAATATTTTCCTGATATAGGGTTTATTACTCAAGTAAGGGTAAAACAGTATCTGATTAGAAGGCTACTTGAGTACTGAGTATCATCTGATCTAATATTTTTAAATTATGACATCAAACAGACATAAAATAAGAAGTTATGGGCAAATATTGGGATTTTAAAGACTAAAGGGAAAAAATGTAAACAAATAAACAACATAATTACAAAATAAAACATTTTAGGCTAAATTTAGACAAACTGAGGACAATATTTTCCTGATATACAGGGTTTGTTTAATTGTCTGAAAATTTAACACGTTTAAAAAAAATACCGCGATAATACCGAAAACCGTGATAATTTTGGTCACAATAACAGGATGTTAAATTTTCACACCGTGACGACTCTAGTTACTAGTGAGATAACCGGCACCAGCCCGGCTCACAGATCATTCCTCACCTCCCTCCACCACAACCAGGTTGACGTCTCTGTGCAGAACCACCGTCCCCGTCAAGTACAGCTGGTTTGCGTTGGCCTCCACTTTAAACTTCTTTGCAGGATTTTGCAGGTAACGGATTCTGGAAAGGCAAAGTGTTTCCTTTCAAACGCTGTGAAACACCATTTTATTTGCTCCCTCCTCACAAATCCGTACCTGTAGACTGAAATGTGAACTCCATCGCTGACGTCTTCTTTTAACTTCTTGACCTTCTTCTCTTTTCTCTGCTCTGCTGTGAGCTTACGAGCTGCGTTGGCCTCCTCGTGAGCTCTGCAGTGTAAAAGTTGGAAAAGGGAAATGTTTGAGCCCGCAGTCGACTGGTTTTCCAGCGAGAAGACAAATGACCAGATTTAAAATAAGATACTAACTTCTGTCTCTTGGCCATCTGCATTCTCACATGGTTCTCAATTTTGGTGGGATCCTGAACAGCCTCCGTCCCCAAGACTCTCATCAGGTTGGAGATGCGGACTAAAAGGAATAAAAACAAACGTCGGCCACTTTTTGCTCAGCCTCACGTTGCAACAGTGGTGAATACCGCTCTACCTTTGGGTTCTGGTGGCGGCATCAGCCCCAAACGAACTTTTTCTTGCACTTCTTTTTGTGCCTCTCTCCGCGTTTGTCTTCTCAGTTTCTTCTGTTCTTTCTTTGTCAAGTACACACCCAAAGTTACCGGCTTATCTCTGTCCACTGAAAACAAAAACCATAGAGATGCTTTAAAGATGGGAACATGGGGTTAAGACTGCTCTACAGACAGAAAATACGAACGTCTATATTAGCTTCTGATGAAATAATGCTCGTACCACCACACGTTCATGTTTTTAAGTCCAGGCTCAAGATCCACCTATTTAGGTTAGCTTATATCTAATTATTTATTATAGTTTTATTTCTCGTTTTACATTATATCTTATTACTGGCTTTGCATGTTTTATATGATTATCTTTTAGCACAGTTTCATTATTTAATATTAATTTACTATCTATATGATTTTATTTATTACTAATTGTCCTACTTTTGTCCCTTATATCAGCTCTTTTATTTTCATATTTTTACTCATTTTAATCCAGTGTTCTCTCCGTGGGGACCCTCTGCCCCGGGGGCGGTGGTCGACTGTTGCTTCCTGGGCGCTCTACAAGTAGTGTTTAAGTGGAGGTGGGGATCTATGCTCCCCCTCCACTGAGCGCCCTGACGTAAGCCCCTTCAGGCAGGCCATGAAAAACGGAAATGTTCGGGACTCTGTCCTTAAGACCTTTGTGTCTGAATACAAACATCCGGATAACCTTTTCAGTAATTAAACCGGACGAAGCCCCTAGTAACAGGACCGGACTTGTCACGGTCAGGGTGGCTGCTTTAGACTGGTGAGGTCGTGTTCCAGACAGGGAGGAGGGGGGGACCGGGGGACGCTGTGCACACCTAGATAGCTCGCTCCTGTAGCATGCGGTGAACCATGGCAGCTCGCCTCCTACGGTACCGTCTCCTAGACGCGCGACGGAGCGCTTCACACCGCTTCCGTGATTCCTTTATTAACCATTGAGCTTCATCACCCAGGTCTCTTATGCGTCTTCGTGTGCGCAGAATTATGCTCAACATAAGTCCAATCAGTGAGAGGAATTCTATCTCTTCGTCGGCCATGTTTGCCTGAATAGCTTTGTTTGGGTAAATGATGCATGTACGCCCGCTGCACTATGTTTACGCAATGTCTGGGTACAAAAACGCCCATGAGGTGTATTCACTGAAACAGAAATTATAAAGGTGATGAACACTGGTTTAATCGGTTCATCTGAAGTTGTCTATAGTAAGAATGAATGCCTTGGAAGTCGTACTCTGGGAGACAAAAGCCCAGAAGAGCCTGTTCCAGCATGGAGAATTCAGCTGGAGGACAAAGTAGCTTCAGACAGCAGGATCTGGACATCTCTCCTCTGATTGGCTAACAGCAGCACGACTCTACCACTGACTGTCTGCTCTGCAACGTTGATGTTTCATCTCCACGAATAACACAAGCCTGGAGGAGTTCTGCTGTGTGGTGGAGTTGCTAATGCTAACGGTTAGCTTCTACTAGTTTAAGACGTTCTCTGCTGCTTCCTGGACGCTAAACCAACAACAGCCTTCCCCCGTCGTGAGTCCAGATGGTTGAGTCCATGGATGTTAGTGACAGTGTGACGTAGATCTGTCAGGATTTCTAATCCTAGAGTTTCACCGTCTGAAATCACTTCTGCATGATTCACAAACGTACCTGGAGGACTTATCTGAGCAGGATGTTCGACTAAGTTTGTCACACCAAACAAATCCAGATCTTCAAATTTCGTGGCTGAATTTCTGTGCAAGACAAACAGGGGGGGGGACATGAGTCCTTTATAGAAACAATCTTTTTTGTCACAAAATTTGACGGTCAGCTTCTCTCCAGAGTCGCTGACGCTTGCTAAACACTCCCCACGCTTTAGAAATGTCATTTCTTACACGGGTATGGAGGGAAGGATGAAAGAGTCCCACCACTCGATGTTGGGCACCTCTCCATCGCCGATCTCTTTCTTAGGAGCGATCAGAGCCAGTTTGGTGGAAGCTTGGATTCCTGTCTTCTTTGCAGCCTGGGCAATCTCATTCTGCAGCCTTTCCAGCTGGGCCTGATTGGGGAAGACGTGAAAAACTCCTAAAGGATGATTTTAAACCAACGTAAACCTCGGTGCAGAATCCACTCACCTTAGTTCTGACTCTTTGAGCGATCTTTTCAAAGCGACCCGGCTCGTGGAACCTGAAGGTGCGACGAGTCCGCTGGGCTGCTGTTGCAAGTACACGCTGGTCAAAGTAGGACGTGGACTCCAGGTCCTCCCCAGGCTTCTCCTTCAGCTGCTGACGGAACTGCTCCCTCTTCACAGCTCGTATGTTGGCTGCATGGAGCGAGGAGGACAGTTTAGGGAGCATTCGCATGAGGGCAGTGAATCATCTTAACCCTTTAAGCGCCAAAGTCGCAGAATTGCGACAAGCAGCAATGTTGGATTTAATAAGCCACAGCAGCAGAAATGAGCCCTCATGCAGTTAAAACGTTACACTGCGGGGCGGCAGACACCTGTAACTTCAATCCTAGCAGCATTTGCGGGTATGTTACTATTCAAATTTATGGAATATTTAGCGTTTGAACCCCACCCACCAGTGGCAGAGCCGTGGGGGTTGTCAGAGCAGTCAGATGAGTGAGAGCGAGCGAGTGGTAAAGGAAAAAACACGCCGAGAGGAATGTTCAGCACTGACGAAGCTCTTCGTCTAGCACTGACAGATTCGGATTCGGAGGAAGAATATTTCCTGTCCGAGGATGACCGGCGCGCAGCAACAGGGAGCAGGGTATCTGCAGGTTTAAGGGAGCCAAATTTAAGACTTTTTAAGACCTTTTTTAAGGCCACTTTGACCAAATTTAAGCTATAATTTCCAGCTATTGCCTGGAAACGGTGCTAACCACGTCGCGGATGTAGGATTAGCCATCCAGTTACCATTAAACTTGCACTTCCCCATGGCGCAAGCGCCCACTAGCTTAACCAGCTAATGTCCTCATCTAAAAATAGCCCCCTTTCACAACCAACTGCATGTGTACGGTTCCGCTTACGCCAACATCGTACACAAAAAAGCGGAACACTAACTAGAAATTCATGAAAATTTTATAGAAATTAAAGAATCTTTTTTATTGGGTCTTTGTGGTATTTTAAGACCTTTGGAAACTGCATTTAAGGATTATTTGTCATTTTTAAGGATTTTTAAGACCTTAAATTTGGAAAAGCAAATTTAAGACTTATTAAGACTTTTTAAGGACCCGCGGATGCCCTGAGGGAGTCTGTCAGGCTGACGGACTCTGTTGCTGCGCGCTGACGGCGTCAGCGACGACACGGTTACACGAGCAGCCCATCCAGCCCTTTTCTTGTCCGATGTTCTGCGGCGGGGGGGTGCGTTAGGAACAGCGACAAAGTGGCACTGCCTCTCTCTCTGCTGCTAAAGCTACGGAGAGCAAATGCTACGGGCGATGCCTGAGCGTGAACGCGCATGAAGCAGCCTGCTCGACCCGAGCATCTCTCTTTTTCTGTGATTTTACAGAAAAACAGGCAATCACAGTAAAAATGCCAGGGCTCATTCTACAGGACCAGGGCATTGCAGGAGAATGTATTAAGAAGACATTTATTATTTCTATACATGTTTCAGCCGTCAAACTTCCATAATGCCCCTTTAAACCAAACAAACGGCACCCCCACCCAGGACGATACGACGCACGTACCTTTGAGCGTGGGCATGCGGTGCGTGAGTTCGATCTCTTTGCCCGAAGCATCTACAGTTCTGCCCTTGTCGTCCAGGATAAGAGGTGTTGGTTTGTTCACCTCTTTAATTTCTACTTTCCTGTATTTTGCACACAGAGAATGCATCTTTATTGGGGCCGTGTGAACAAACACATCACAACACAACACAACAGCCTTTCCTTCGGTGCTTACGGTGGAGCGATTCCCATTGCGTGTAGATTAGCGAGAGCCACTAAGTTGTGAGGTACCGTGTTCCCCAAAGTCCCCAGGATACCGGGCTTCATAGCCAGCTGGGACTGAATACGGGCCTGAACCTCAGCAGCCTTGCGGGCCTTCTCAATAGCATCGTTCATGAAGCTCGCAGCCTGGGAGGGGGCGATAGACGAGGCGCCACCAGCAGAACCAAGAAGTCTTGAAACAGGTGAAGGATCTGCCTGTTAATGTAGAAAAAGGGAACAATTTAAGCAGAAAATGTGTATTTTTGTTCATATTTGTGACTTTTACACTTGTCAATAATCTCCTTACTGAAGGTGGAAAGTTCAGTTGTTTTTTTCTTTCTTCAATCTGTTTAGTGGCAGCTTCCATCATCTGTTTGATCTGTTAGTAAAACAAATGATTAGACAACACTACTGAAATACTCCACCAGCCGTCCACACGAGCTTTACCTGCATCTTTGTGAGCATGCCGGGGCTTTCAGATGGAGGCCCGGGTATGACCTCGGGGCCCTCCACCTCCTCAAAGCGGTGGACTCGTTTCCGCTTCACTGTCGTCCCGTCTCCTGTTTCAGGAGCTTCTCTCACGGCGGCGGCGGCAGCATCTGTCTCCTCGCCAAAGACATCCTGAGCCCCAACAACCAAACCGTCAAACAGCAATCAAATTTGTTAAGTCAATAAAGCACATATCAATGGCAAAGAAAAGCGCAGTTACGCTTTATTTCATTAACTCATTCGCTGCCAGCGTTTCTCAGTTTTTACTGTTTTTTAAGAGTGACAGAACGTTGCGCTAGGATGATGTCGACGCCAAAACAACCAAAACAAAGCGGAGACTCCACGCAGAAAGGCTGCAGCCGAGTTTCGAACCTGCAACCTTCGTGCTGCGAGGCAACAGTGTTAACCACTGCGCCACCATGAAGCCACACACAGTTAAACAAAACAGTGTTGATTAAGGTGTGTGTGTGTGTGAGAGAGATAGAGAGGGAGAGAGAGATAGAGAGGGAGAGCAAGAGAGACAAAATAATTTTAAAAACCCGACTGAAACGAGTATTCGGCTCATCCCTAGCTGCAACCACCCTGCCCTGCATCCTCCTTCTTGCTGCCTGCCGGCTGTGATCACAAGCAACAACAGAGTAGTTCCTGCTGCTTCTTCGGGAAACGGCGCAAAAAAATAAAAATAAATCAATAAAACTTGGGATCTTGTAGGCGTGGCGCTGGGATTTCAGCCGTAAGGGAAACACTGGCTAAAGGTTGCGTCCGCGAGGTCCGCACAGCGAAATTGCGTTATTTTAACAACCACGCCCCTCCACCGCGTCTCAGCACGGCCCAAAATTTCCGCACCGCGCACCTAGGAAATTTTCTAACCACACGGACAGAAGCGGAAAAACATGGCGGACCGGCAAGAACTAGTTTGGCAGAGGTTCGTAAACACAGACATTTGTATGATTCAGCTCTCAGAGATCACCGTGATCAACATGTTGTTAATAATTCTTGGAGAGAAATAGCTCGCACTGTCGGAAAAGACGAGCACGCAGTTAAAAATAATGGAATGCCATGTTGTAAACAGTAATTTCTTCTTCTATGGTGTAGTGTTGGATGCATGCTGTAGAGCTCCATGCTGCCCCCTACAGTTTGGGAGAATATTGGCTCACCGCAGAGACGAGCCGCACGAACCATAAACGCTGCAAGTTGTGAAGCGCGTTCCATCCGCGAGCCGCATCACCGCGCGGAAAGTGAACGCATCAAGCATAAACCAAGCTTTATCCTCCATTGGAAGCAAAAGAGACTTGCATGCAAGTCTCTCGTAGATTAGTTTCACCTTTACGTTCAATTACTGATTTAAATTAACTTTTGCACCAGACTAAGTTTGAGTTTCACCGGGATTGCACTTGAGATAATTAAAGGATTTTGCAGCCTTAACTCAAAGTTTTTAGTAAAAAAATAAATAAATCAATTAAAAATAAACAAAAAAACGTTTGTTTCTTCAGCTAAATCACATTCTGATCTTATTATTTAATTGTCCAATAATAATGAAGACAAAACATTTCCTAATTCCATTTTTGGTTCTTTTTAAAACACAGGAAAGGTTTCTCTTTACCTTGCCAACGCTTCGTTAAAACGGAGTAGGAAGTGACGCCACCATCAGCTTCAGCGCTGGGGATGTTTTGCAGTCGGCAAACGAAATGTTAGCAAGGTAAAGAGAAACTTTCATGTGTTTTAAAAAGAACCAAAAAGGGAATTAGAAACTAGACACAGTAAGAACACCAAAGATGACATAACAGTTCACTTTGTTACCTTAAGCTCCCTCTTGCGGTTCTTTTCACCTCCTCCTTTGTTTCCACGGGAGCTGCGGCTCTCCTCGAGAGCTTCGAAAAGCCGTTCCACAAAACCTCCAGCAGAGTCATCAAGGAAAGGGCGCAGCTGGTCTGAAAGCACAACAGGGTGAAAATCAGTAATTTAATCGTCATTGTAGCAAAATTTTCACACAGAAAGTAATTAGACAGCAGATTAATACATTTGTAATGTGTCCAAACGAAAACGTCTGCTAGTTAGGGTTGTCACGGTAACCGGTGTAGCGGTAAACCCCGGTAAAAAAGTTGACAATAATAATAACCGTCTTGTTTTTAAAAATATATTAACTCGGTGGATTAGCGTGGCTGCGGTGTAGGCGCAGTGACCCTTACCAGCCACCGTATCATCTGCTGAAGTTGCCGGCGGCACATGCGCACTTTGTTGTTTACAACCAAAACTTTCTTGAAGCTAAAGCTGACATAATGGCCAAAGGAGGAGACGGCAGCGCTCAGGACATTTATTATCCCTCAAAGAAGACAAAGTGAGAAGTACGGGCATCTTTGGATATTTGAAGAATGCCGAGGGACAGCCGATAGAAGACGGCTATCCTGTTTGCAGCACGTGCAGAAAAAGTGTCTGTGAAAGGCAGCAACGCTACGTGGCCATCATAATGTAGCCTAGGGCTGGGCGATATGGCAAAAATAGAATATCACGATTTTTCCAATATTTTATCACAATTTTGATTTTATCACGATTTTTTATCCATGAATAGCATAACTTCAATTGCGTATTAAAGAAGAGAAACATTGAATAAATAAACATTTATTCATATTAGGGATAATCAGCACAGTGCTAACACACTTATATTTTAAACTCACACCAGAGATGATAAAAGCCCTGAGAGAAACAATTACAAAAATCAGTTTTTCTCGTTTTTCAAGTAACTTAACATAAATTAAAATCGTAAACAAATTTAAAGTGCAAACATGTCAATTGCAAACGTATTGTGCAAACATTAACTTCTTCAAAATACTATGTAGCTCCCAGTTGCTCATGTAGTGGATAGTTAAGCTCAAATACGGCTCTGATGTGCAGCTGGACCAGAGATCGCTTGTGGTAGCAAAAAACTGCGCATTCTGAATATTTTCTGCAACAAGTCTCTAAATAAAGTAAAATTTTCCAGTGCAGATTGGAGACAACCCATAGAAGCACTGATTTGATCTCATTTCAGAGAAAAATAGAACAGGTCAGATGCACCTAATATATAAAATTACTAACAAACTCAGGAATCTTTCTTTGCTTCACTGTTCTGGTGCTGAAAATATCACTAATGCAGATCAAAGGAGATACACAGATGAAAGCACCTCTTATTATTTGGAAACTACATTTACTGCAGCTGGCAGAGGCAGAGATTGTTTCTATTGATACACGGATTTACAGAATCATTTTAAATGTTAATAGGGGAAGACTGCAGGAGGGAGCGGTAAAAACAAGAAACTACGAGTCTGATGAAACCTGCTGGTTTTCCATCAGGCAGTCACGGGGCAGCTCCAACGACCCAGTGACCGACCGGCTCGGCGGCGAGCCGAGGCGACGTCGTGCTCTGCTTAAGAAGCGGTGTTATTTTCCTGCTTCAGAAGAAGCGTCCAACGTGTTTTTACGCTTTCTCCGAGACATGTTAGGTCGCTAAGTTGTTAGCGCCGCGCGCTAAGGAAACCCTGCGTTCCTCTTCGGAACGAAAACCTCGTTGTCGCTCAGCCGCGGCCGAAGCCATGTTTGTTCACACACACGTGAAAACAAGCGGGGCACTAATATATTACTATGACTCACTCTGATTGGTTAAGGGTCAAACAAAAGCGTGTCATTCCCCTGAGGTAAGTTCTATTTTCATTCAAAGGCAGAATTTCAACAGCAGAGCTGTGAATCGTGGTAAAAAGGTCTCTCAAAAATGACAGACCGTCAGATGTGTAGATCGTAAAACGGTCTAAAATCGTCATATCGCCCAGCCCTAATGTAGCCATTGTCTCACGACTCCGCCATCTCCAGTTCGCCACTTTTCACAAAATCTTCTGGTTGCCACTGGTCCTGGTGGTTTTTCTTCCAGTTCAACGAGTTTTCTTTTGGAAGGCTGGCTGACTCCGGTTAAAAACCGCCACATTTCACCGCTAGTTTTAACACGAAGCTAACCGCTAACTCGATAAACTGATTGAATGGGATAGGTGGAAATGACGTTGGATGTGGCACTCGCGTACGTTTGTGTACGTTGCATGCAGGCGGGAGGAGTATCAGAAATCCATGGAAGATGACTGATAAACAACTAATTTGGTGCAAACATTTACTCGCCAGGTGGCAGATAGAGCTCAAAGATTTACTCGCCAAATGGAGCAATTTGCTCGCATTTGGCGAGTGGCGAGTGTTAATTTTGGACCCTGGCTGCACAATATATCGAAAAATTATCGTCATCGCAATAACAGGAAGTGCGATAGACCCATCGCAAAGCACGTCAAAAATGGCGATAAATGTTTGGTTCAAACATTTCCATCTGTGTCATACATCAACTTTTTGTAAACCAGCTGTTTTTTATGCGGAAGTATTATATGACCAATCAAATGTAGCCCTTCTGATATGCGGCCAATCAGATGGGTTCGTTTACGTAATACGCCCGCCCCCTACGTAGACCCTTACCCCAAAATTTCACTATCTCCGCTCCGCCCCCGCTGCCGCTCGCTTCCCTTGTTCATCATGTTGCCTCAGACTAACGAACACACTTTGTGCTGAGGTTTCTGGAATCAGCGCTGCTTTCAAACGTGAACGTGAGTCCGCTCGGTGTCGTTAAGCAGCTGATAATAACCGGGCTGACTCCGACACGTGCCGGTGAACCAACCCACCAACCTTCATGTCGCTAGTGTTCCACCGGGTGGTGACGTTAGCCCCAGGCTCCGGTTAGCTTCCAGCTAAAAGGCTACAGCACTCTCCTCCCAGTCCCACCCTGCTAAAGAGGGCCTGGAAATGTTCCCCCACACATCAAAGTGATTTTTCATTTATGAGCTTTTATGACCTTGTTAATCAGGATAGTTGATTTGCTGCTGCACATAAACTGTCAGTCAGAAGCTCTGCTAGCCGGTTATCTTAGAGAAGCTAGTTCAATTTGTTAGCTTGTTACCAGAATCATAGTTGCAGTTTCATCATCTGAGCTGCTTTTTAAGATCTAGGTAAACTTGTTCAATTTGGGGTTAAAAACAAACGTTTTCACATATTTTCCATGTAGTTTTTTGCCAGTTCCTCTTCTGAAAGGTAGACATTTGTTTTTCTCTTTCCCTCAGAAAATCTTAATATTCTCCTAGTTTGGCCCAGCACAGTTCACTTCCCAATTACAGCAACAGCCTTATATCATAACCACATAAGTGGAGAAAATGCTCAGTAGCAATGAGAGAATTTGCTGTTGCATTTAAGTGATGTTAACTATTATTTAACATTTAAACTTATTTTCTGATTTTTTATTTATTCAGAAAACCCTGGTAAGGGATGTTTTTCTGTATTTGGAGCATCAGAAAGTTTTATGGTGGAGGTGATGTTTTAAAGTCACTGAGAAACTGCATGCATGCATGCAGTTTGTTGTTTTGCTGCTAATACAGTAGCAGGAGCAGCTGCTAATACAGTAGCAGGTGCAGCTGCTAATACAGTAGCAGGTGCAGCTGCTAATACAGTAGCAGGTGCACCTGCTAATACAGTAGCAGGTGCAGCTGCTAATACAGTAGCAGGAGCAGCTGCTAATACAGTAGCAGGAGCAGCTGCTAATACAGTAGCAGGTGTAGCTGCTAATACAGTAGCAGGTGCAGCTGCTAATACAGTAGCAGGAGCAGCTGCTAATACAGTAGCAGGTGCAGCTGCTAATACAGTAGCAGGTGCAGCTGCTAATACAGTAGCAGGTGCACCTGCTAATACAGTAGCAGGTGCAGCTGCTAATACAGTAGCAGGAGCAGCTGCTAATACAGTAGCAGGAGCAGCTGCTAATACAGTAGCAGGAGCAGCTGCTAATACAGTAGCAGGAGCAGCTGCATATTTTTGCAATAAAAATGTTATGTTGTAATGGAATTCATGCATTAGTTTTTGTTTGCTTTAAACCCAGAGCAGACGTCACACGCCAGACGACATCAACACTGAATACTTAAGTATTTGTTCATTTATTGCGAGTAATATCGATATCGCAATATTAGGCACCGTTATCGAATATCGCAGGTTTTTCTAATATCGTGCAGCCCTAGTTTACTTAGTTGTCTGAAAATGTAACATGTTTAAAAAATACCGCGATAATACCGAAAACCGTGATAATTTTGGTCACAATAACCGTGAGGTTACATTTTCACACCGTGACAACCCTACTGCTAGTAGATAATTAACTGGCCGTTTTAATTAGCTTTGTGGAAAAGTAAATAAAAAAACATTCAAGCTGATCAGAAATTTTTTTGTACAATCCAAATTGTGCCCGTTTCAGGGCGTACAAGTCAGCTGGAGAGGAAAGTAGCTTCAAACAACAGGATTTGGTGTCTTGTTCCATGTAATTTGGAATTCTTGCCTTGGATTGGCTAACAGCATCTCGACTCTACCAGCGACTTAATTTTTCTGCAAGGTTTTATCTCCACAAATAACTAAAGTGAGGAGTTCTGCTGTGTGGTGAAGTTGCTAATACCAACAGTTAGCTTCTACTAGCAGAGACTTTCTCTGTTGTGAGCCAAGACAGGTGAGTCCATGAATGTTAAGTGACAGTGTGACATAGATCTGTCAGGCTTTTCTAATCTTAGAGTTTCACCGTCTGTTTTCTATCTGAAGCTAACGCAGGAGATAGGTGTAGGAGACTATTTTCATGTTAAGCATGCATTAAACACTCAGAAAGACCCATTAGAATCAGAAAAAATTTAAAATGTTTTTTCAGTGACCCACACCTTCAATTATCAGTTTTAAGTGGGCGGTCAAAACGTTTTTCACAACTTTGACCATGACGTTTAATGAGTTTAGCATGTTTTTGATATATTAAGTCTAATCTGGTCCATTGGTTTACCTGTGGTCTTTCTTTTATCCAGCCCCTTTCCCACACAGTGTAAAGCTGCAGTGACCACAGTGGGCTCGGAGAATCCAAGCACCTTCTTCACGGTGCGCTCCACCCAGGGTCTGAGCTCCTCCACCTCCCGCTTAGGCAGGGACATCCTCCAGTCCTGCAAATCACAACATGCAGATCGATCATTCCACGATAAACTCAGTTTTTTAATGCTGGCCTCGTTTTCGAACTCTTTCACCCGGACCTAGGTGCCTCGAACAGCATTAAACAATAAACAGGACAATACACAAACGAAACATACTTGCAAAAAAATTTTTGAGTATATTAACTGTTACATTAGCAGGACGCACGCAAGCTAAAATGAACTTCACCTGCTAAAACTCCACAGTTAGCCGCTAACTAATGTTAGCATAGTGCTATTTGCAAGCGACCAACATTAGCTAATTTGGCCTCGTTAAACCCACAAATATCTCGATTTTCCTATCTTGTTTACAATTTGCAGCAAATTTAACAGAACATACCCATACAATCAAGTTTTAGGGACTTAGATCACCCAACTCACCAAGTTTTTGGAAAAACTTTCTGTTTAGCCGCGCCGTTCACGCAACGTTTCTGCTAAAAGACCTGGAAACGGAAATGACGTTTGCATCTTCTTCGTGATTTTTCTCAAACCTTGTTGTTTCTGCCACCTATTGATCATATGAGGTACTGTCCACATTTTATTATCAATGGACAATGAGATGATTTAAAATATATCAAGATAATTTGTTAAACTGGGACAAATACGAAAATAACAGGTTTACTGGCAGTTTTTATTTTTTTAAATTACATTAAAACCCACAGAGAATAATTTAGTTTAAATAAGGATTTTTTAAAAGTGGTTGGTCATGTTTTTAATATGTCTAAGGACTTTAAGTCACCCAAACAAAGATATAATCTGTGCAAAGTATTTGCCTTTTATTTACAAAAATAAAAACGAAATGGATTAGAAAAGCTCATGAAAATCAAAAATAAGAAGACCTGGCAAAACTTCCTAATCCGATTGTAAACAGGAACTTAATTAGCATGTAGGTGGACTGCATTATTTGTTCTGTCAGACATTTGTTATCCTGTTCTGCAAACTTATTTAATAATAATTAGGTCATACATACACCTCTCCTCTCCACACACCTGTCCCAGGTGTGGTTGGGAGGACCCCCCCCCCCCCCCCCCCCCCAATAAAATAAGCTGTTGGACTTCTGTGCCAGTCATTGATTGTCCATAATGAACACCATGTTCAGACATAAAGGTGTCTATATGTGCTCTTGGCAACAGGATACCTTAGGCCGCAGCTCGAGGATCGACTTTGTTGTTGTTTCATCTGACCTGCGGCCGCAGGTCTTGGACACTCGGGTGAAGAGAGGGGCGGAGCTGTCAGCTGACCACTACCTGGTGGTGAGTTGGCTTAGATGGTGGGGGAGGATGCCGGTCAGACCAGGCAGGCCCAAACGTATCGCGAGGGTCTGCTGGGAACATCTGGCAGAGTCTCCTGTCAGAAGGAGCTTCAATTCCCACCTCCGACAGAACTTCCAAAATGTTCAGGGGAGGCGGGGGGACATTAAGTCTGAATGGACCCTGTTCCGTGCCTCCATTTTTGAGGCAGCCGACCGGAGCTGTGGTCGCAGGATCGTCGGTGCCTGTCGTGGTGGCAACCCCCAAACCCGCTGGTAGATACCGTCGGTTAGGGATGCTGTCAAGCTGAAGAAAGAGTCCTATCAGGTCTTTTTGGCCTGTGGGACTCCAGAGGCTGCTGATGGGTACCGGCAGTCCAAGCGGAACGCGGCTCGGGTGGTCGCCAAGGGAATAACCCGGGCGTGGGAGGAGTTTGGTGAGACCATGGAGCAAGACTTCCATACGGCTTCGAGGAGATTCTGGTCCACCATCCGGCGCCTCAGGGGGGAAAGCAGTGCGCTACCAACACTATCTATAGTGGGGACAGTGTGCTGCTGACCTCTACTCAGGACGTTGTGGATCGGTGGGCAGAATACTTCGAAGATCTCCTCAATCCCACCGACCCGTCTTCCAGTGAGGAAGCAGTCTGGGAACTTTGACTTGGCCTCTCAAATCTCTGGTGCTGAGGTCACTGAGGTGGTTAAAAAGCTCCTCTGTGGCAAAGCTCCAGGGGTGGATGAGATCTGCCTGGAGTTCCTTAAGGCTCTGGATGTTGTGGGGTTGTGTTGACTGACGCGGCTCTGCAATTTCGTGTGGACATCGGGGGCAGTCCCACTGGACTGGCAGACCGGGGTGGTGGTCCCCTTATTTAAAAAGGGGGACCGCAGGGTGTGTTCCAACTACAGGGGGATCACACTCCTGAGCCTTCAGGGGTTCTGGGGAGGAGGGTCCGTCGGATTGTTGAACCTCAGATTCAGGAGGAGCAATGTGGTTTTCGTCCTGGCCGTGGAACACTGGACCAGCTCTGTACCCTTAGGGGGATCCTGGAGGGTGCGTGGAAATTTGCCCAACCAGTCTACATGTGTTTTGTGGATTTGGAGAAGGCGTTTGACCGCGTCCCTCGGGGGGCCCTGTGGGGGTACTCCGGGAGTATGGGGTACCAGGCCCTCTGATATGGGCTGTTAGGTCCTTGTATGACCGGTGTCAGAGCTTGGTCCGCATTGCCGGCAGTAAGTCGGGCTCGTTTCCAGTGAGAGTTGGGCTCCGCCAAGGCTGCCCTTTGTCACCGATTCTGTTCATAACCTTTATGGACAGGATTTCTAGGCGCAGCCAAGGTGTGGAGGGCATCCTGAGGATCAGGTCTCTGCTTTTTGCAGATGATGTGGTCCTGTTGGCTTCATCAGAACGTGATCTTCAGCTTTCGCTGGAGCGGTTTGCATCCGAATGTGAAGCAGCTGGGATGAGAATCAACTCCTCTAAATCTGAGACCATGGTCTTGATTCGGAAAAGGGTAGAACGCCTTCTCCGGATCAGGGATGAGGTCATGTCCCAAGTAGAGGAGTTTAATTATCTCGGGGTCTTGTTCACGAGTGAGGGAAAACTGGAGCGTGAGATCGATAGGTGGATTGGTGCTGCATCTGCAGTGATGCGGGCGTTGTACTGGTCTGTCGTGGTGAAGAGAGAGCTGAGTCAGAAGGCGAAGCTCTCGATTTACCGGTCGATCTACATTCCTACCCTCACCTATGGTCATGAGCTTTGAGTAGTGACCGAAAGAACGAGATCACGGATACAAGCGGCTGAAATGAGTTTTCTCCGAAGAGCGGCTGGACTCTCCCTTAGAGATAGGGTGAGAAGCTCGGTCATTCGGGAGGGGCTCGGAGTAGATTCGCTGCTCCCACATCGAGAGGAGCCAGTTGAGGTGGCTCGGGCATCTGGTCAGGATGCCTCCTGGTGAGGTTTTCCAGGCACGTCCAACCGGGAGGAGGCCTAAAGGTAGACCCAGGACACGGTGGAGGGACTATGTCTCTCACCTGGCCAGGGAACGCCTTGGGATTCCCCCGGAGGAGCTGGCCCAGGTGGCTGGGGAGAGGGAAGTCTGGGCCTCTGGCCTTAGGCTACTGCCCCGCGACCCGATTCCGGATAAGCGGATTAAAATGGATGGAAGGATGGATAGGTAATACATGAGGAGAAATTTCTGTCAATCATTTTCTCTTGTGACCAGAGTTGATTATGATTACTTATTTTTATGATCTCACATTCCTGACTGAACTAATCTTTCTGAAGAATGTACTTTTTATTTCAGACTCTTTACTAACCCTCTGGAGGCAGGCGTGGCAGATGTGCAACCTTTAAAACCTACCTACCTGGTTTATGAGCATTTTTTTAACTCAGAAGCACCCCTGAAGGACTTAGTTGTTCGTCCTTTCATCAAAACCTATTTTGAGCCTGAGAGGGCTAAACTGCTATCGTTAAAGAAGATCTTGGCTTGTGTGTCACAACTATAGTTTCTGTAGTATTTAGTCAGGTTAAACATTGCCCAAGCGCTGCCCCAGTAACTACAGGGTGACCATGAACCCAGTTAACTGACTAAAAACAACAACAGGACTGTCAGGTGACTTCCCTTCCCCGACGGCCCACCCCTTCCTTTTTGCTTTCTTTGTGAGATGTGGGTCAACCGAGTCCACTCATAGTAGAGTGAGCACGGATCAGTTGTAGAGAGCCTGAGGCTCCCGTAGTCCAACCCCTACTTCCACACAAGGTTCATGCTTTCCTCAACTCGTGTGTATCTCTGCAGACCTAACTGCCGTTTTCACACACGTTTAAAATACAATTAAAATGACCACTCTTTTTATTTTACATTAAAACCATTCTGAGCCATTTGCAAAAAGAAAAGGTGTTCCTCAGCCTTGTGGTGCAGGCTTTGAAGCTGTTCCATCTTCTGCCTGAAGGAAGG